TGACACCACCAACGTTTTTCCTCTGTTTTCTTCAGCTTTACAGTGCTGCAGCAGAATGAAACTCCAAAAAACTCAAAGTAAAATGATCTGACATTTTCTAAATATCTGTTTCTGCCCAAATTGTTCAATAAATTCAATATGAAACGTGAATAAGATACGTAACAGTGGCTCCAAACTGTCTCAGTGACACAAAATACTATTGACTAGAACAATCATTTTAGGTACCCCTAGGATTGAAGGAGGCAGGAAAAGCTGTTGCATTGACATCCTGGATTTGGAATTTCTCAAGAAAAAAAGGAATAATGCTAATTTTTTAAAATACAATTGTGTCTGCTTGGCTAAAGGAAACGCAGGGGCTTTGAAATGAGGGAAATCTCTACCACAGCCCCACTTGCAGGTGGTTTAGCTGAGCCCTGTGTGCTTCCCCAATCCTAGGGCAAGCAGTTCCCCAGGTTATTGATGTCTTTTGGCCACTGCAAGTCTCTTCCCCCCTACTTATCTGCCTGATGGAGATGTGCAGAGCTGCATGCAGAAGGGGGCCAGGCTCCTTTACAGTGCTGCTTGCCCAGAAGCTGGTTGGCTGAGCCAACAGAAACCCGGGATGAAAGAATATGCACAAAGCTTTGGATTTCTATCATCAAAATGTGCTTGATCTGACTTTTCTCCAATGACCTTTTCAAATGAATTCAGCCCTTGGCACATTTATTATCAGTGAGAAAACATCTGTACCTTTAAGCCTACCCACAATCTTTTCCTTCCATTTCTTGCTTTCTCTGCTTCACTGTCTCTTTCAAGCCTTAGCAACCCTCCTATCTTCCTCCTCTTGCAGTAAATCCCAAATGTGAACAGAAATGTGCCTCGTTCTGTTGCGACAACTAGGGACCCCCCCATTTACATGGGCAGGAACAGCGGTGACATTCAACATCGACACCCAAATCAGATGGAAAAGTGATGCAAAGGATGAGGGGGTGGGCAGACCTTTCTACATTACTATGCGAAGTGATGTACCTTACATTGGATGCATTTTCTTTCTCTTTAAGAATTACATGTCCTTGCTTAGTCCTAACAATCATTGTCCAAACCTCCTTTTTACTTTGAGGAAATTAAAAGCTGTGACTCAGGCTCGTCGCTATCAACATCTCGAATCATTCTTTAATGAAGACAACGAGAATCTTGTCTCTTTGTTTTCACCCAGGCTTCAGTTCAAAGCAGCTTGCTTGAGGATAGCATTTAATTGACCTCAGTGATGGAGCACTTGCAGGGTACCTCTTGCCTAGCAACAACCGCCAGGTAGAGAAGCTTTAATAACTGCTGGGATTTAGGAACCAGACAATGCTATTGTGCAGCCCAAAAGTGAGCCATCACTGCAGGCTGGCTCCACTAACACAACCTTAAGCCAGGGAAGCTGGCTTGTAGGTCATGGTCCCTTGCATTTTGCTGGCTACCCAACTGTGTGAGGGAGGGTTGCTGCAGCCATCAGTAGGTTGCCCCTGGATCTAATGGCATGCCCAATCCTGCAAGCTGTGAGGATAAACCCAAGGATAAGGTAGGCATCCTTCACCACTGAGACACTGCTGGGGCTCCTTGGCTCTCTGAGGAATATGGTACAGGTGTTGTGGCTTTCAGCATTGCATAGACAGCTTGTAGGGCTGCTTTTCCCAAACGGCTTGCACGGAGAGCTATGTGGAAGCTTGACATTGCAGGTGGTGACCAGAACTGTGCCTCTTTGTAAATAAGCAACAGTTACCTGGCCAGGGTTCATTTAATGCTATAATGTATGTTAAGTGATAGAACAACCGAAGCAAAAAAACATGGGGAAAAGGGACAGGCACTTAAATTAAGTGCATCCAAACTCCCTTGAAAAAAAGAGCTTTTCTCTGCATCTTTCAGTTCCTCGCTAAAGAGAGGATTTCCAAAGCCAGCTAGGAGACAAGGTTCATTCTAATAAGCCAACACTGGGGTCAAGTCCTTTGTCTTTTAAATATGGGGCACTTTGGGAAATGAGGCTGACAAAGAGAATAGTCAATATTTCCATTTATCCCCATTCCAGGTACAGAAATGGGCTGCAGAGAGTCTCCGTGTATTGCTAATAACTGAGCATATCCTACATTTGCCTTTCTGCTCTCAGAAATGCCTTTCTGCTGATTTCCAGTAGTCTTTTATTACTCATTTTTGACTGCTTGGGAGCTTTATATCATATATATATGTGTGTGTTTGTGTCTGTATGTGTATAAGGCTCATAACCCATTTGGATGGACTTTGCAGTCTAATCCTCCTATAACATTTTCTTCCCCAAAATCTGTTGCTTTTCTTGCTGTAATCCTCAAGCCAGCCATGACACCAAACAGCATAACTAGAGGAAAGAAGAAAATCTGGTAGCTGCTCCTAGTCCTCCTTTCTCTTGCTTTTCTGACCATCAGCATCCACAGCCACACAAGGGGATGCTACGTGAGAGGTAAGTACAGCCAAGCCTTGCTGCCTGCTGCTGCTGCTGCTTGACAGGAGGGGATGCAGATCCACAGCCATAAGGGCTGAAATGATCTTTTGGGGTGGGCTAAACAGGGGAAAAGAGGAATATTTGAATGGAGAGTGATAAAACCAGAATGTCCTCTCCCAAGTGCTGAAGTATCTCACTTGGACTCTGTTAGCCTCCCTCGCTCTTTTCCACCTTGCTGTGAAATCTGTTTAGACCAGAAACGTACCCAGTTCTTCCTTGCACCATCAAAGTCTTGGACTATAGATGTCTCATGGCCAAGACCTGCTTCATGTTAGCCAAACACCCTTCATGCCTGCAATATATTACCAGCAGAATAACCACACTGAGCATCTGTTTTAGAGCTGAAGCTGCTACCCCCAAGAACAGGGAGACGTGCCACAAACTGGCCTTGTCTTTTGAGGAGTCCTGACTCATGGCTCGCTGGATCTGCCTGGTCTTGGTCAGTGGGGCTTTGTTAAGCTCCAGTACAGCTTGTTTTGTGGTATCTCTATCCTGGTTTCAGCTGGGATGGAGTTAATTTTGCTCCTAGCAGCTGGTGCAGTGATGGGTTTGGGCTTCAGTGTGAGAATACAGCTGAAAACACACTGAGGGTTTAGTTGTTGCTTGGTAGAGCTTACCCTGATCAAGGACTTTGCAGTGTCTCATGTTCTGCCAGTTTCTCTCTCTCTGTTATTTACCTTGCTATATTGATTACTTTATCACAATTATTATTATATTATACTAATACATGTACATATTATATTATACTAATATATATTATACTTATATATGTAGGACTGCCCGGTACTTTGTTACCAGCTGGGGTTAAACCACAACAGTCTCAGACCAGAACAATCCTATGGGCAAAACTGAACCCCTAAGTCTCTACTGTCTTGCTCTGTGGCTGTATCCTGGTCCATGTGAAGCCAGCAGAAGGTATCGGTCTCCTGGTTTGTACTCAGTGGCCTGGTGGAGCCATGCTTTGGTGTTGGTAACAGCCTGAAAGGGAGAAGGCACAGGCTGCTGTACACATCTTACTCTCTGGTGTGCAGTAGGTTTCCCTGCTTCTTCTGCTTTTCTTTCCTGTGCTTTTGCCCAGGAATGTATCTCCATGGGCTTTTGCATCCTCACACAACTGAAGTCAGCCCATGCTCGGAGGCTCAGCTCTAAGGTGGAAGATGGAGAGGTGCAATCAGCACGGAGCCAAGTCCAATACAGAAGCACTGTCCAATGAGGGGCTGTAGCTATTGCAGATCTAACGCTGCCTTAACCTGGCTGTGTTGTTTCTGCCTGGCTCGGAGCACTACCAAGGCAAGACAACATTTCCCTGCAGAAAAAGCATGTAATCTTATTGCTGGTTTGTTAGTCCAAGTCTCTTACAGAAACATGGTTTTCAGACATGTCTAGCTCAAACCTGGAGTAGCTGGCCGTAAGATTTCAGGGGAAATGACATGTTTTCGGAAGCATGCTCCTTTTGGCTTTATTCTGAAGCAGAAACAGGAGTGGATTTTGTTCTCTGCTGCCTGAGCAGGAGTTCGCAGCGACCTTACAGACAGCAGTTGGGTTTATCCCCATTTATACCAGCAGAGAGTTGAATCTGGCTTGCAGTCAAACCAGTAGGTCCATAGGATCTCATTGACACTGGTTTTGAGCACTATCTTTTTAAGGAAAACAAAGGCAGTTGTCTTAATCTGAAGTTCATAATATTTGTAACAATCCAGCTACCCAAAACCACCACCGCTCCCCGAAGTAAAACTCCATTAGAAAAGCCACAATCAAGAGCCTTTTCCTTGTGCCTTGTTGTCCTACGGGAAGGACCAGACCAGTTTCTTCAGGAGGGGGCACAGAGGCTCCAGTGCATGTATACCTCACAAGAAGGGATGGCTGAAGGTTGGACTCGGGCTGAGGAGATTCAATCCCTGCTCTCATACTGGCTGCTTGGCCGAACTCGAGCATCACTTCCATTCCCCCTCTGTCAGATGGGTTTATCGTTCTGCTCAGGCACTACAGGGATGGGGACCAAGCGAGAGCCTGTAGCAAGATGAAGGCTCTCTGATCTTGCAGCTCCTGACATCTGTGGCTACTCTGGTAACAAAAAGGGCACTGGTGTAAGTGGCTTTTTGATGAGGAAACTGCAATGAGACCTGAAATGAACTGAGACCACCTGCTTGTTTGCCTTAACAATGGAACTGAACAGAGAACAGGGCCTTTTTATTTCTAACAGGTTTGATCTGGGAACAGGAACCCTGAGTCTTTGGGGGGTGAGGGTTATCTCTTCACATTAATACCCATGCTGCTCCCCAGGAGCATTCCTTTGCCTTTTGCTTGTCTCCTTTCCCCCCTTCTCCCTTAATTCCCTATTTCTCTTCCTCTTCTCCTGCTTTTCTTTTCTTCCTTCCTTCAGTTCTCAGAGGTTTTTCAAAGCAAGGCTATCGGTTACAATCACAGCCTGCTTCCACACACAGCGACTGCGGCTCTGCGCTCACATTCTAACCCAAATGTTGTTTTCCCATCTCACCTCTAGGTGGTTGAAATAAGCAGAATGCCTGAAGACACCGAGGAGCACATTTCTAATGGGTAAGGGAGGGAGATAAAGGAAAATTAACAGCCATGAGACTCGCAGGGGTACTGGGAGAGGGTACCACTCCTTTCCTGCCCTGCAGGTACCAAGCTGCCTATTGCCTAATCTGGCGACTGGTCTTCTTGCACTGATGTGCTGGTGCCTATATTCACACTGTAATCAGCATCCACCTCCTGGCTACAGTTTAGATTGGATTAGGGCGTGAGTTTCCTTCTCACTTTACAGTCAACATGAGCAAATGCTTTGTTTATCAAAGCAATCGGAGCGATGCCTAATGGAAAGCACTAGATCTATCCAGAACAATTAGAGCCATGGAATAGATGCCTTACAATAACGGGAAATCTATTCTGCTAAAAGCTTCCTTTAGGATCATTATCTAGAGACCTGCTAACCCTGTAATTGTTCCCTCAGCACAAGCATCCTCTTCAGAGAAAAATAAAGACCATAGTGGTTTGCATCAGAGTACGAGCAGCCTGGCTGGCTGCTGCTGTGATGCAGGCAGCTCCCCATGTGAATGCCTTCCCCACATGAGAAAATGTATCCTGAGAGCTTTGCAACTGGATTTCCTTACTAGTGCACATCCTTATTTACTAACATTGGAGGGAAGGGTACCTCTGTGTCCAATAGCCTCTTATATTTCTTTTTAACTAACAGAAGAGTTTCGTCTAAATCAATCCCAAATGTACGTTACCAAAGAGTGAGACCGATGTCTGTATAATTGCTTATGCATTGTGGCCTTTCAGTTCCTAAAAGGGAGCTGTAAGAAAGATGGGGAGAGACCTTTTAGCAGGACCTGTTGTGACAGTACAAGGGGAGATAGTTTTAAACTAAAAGAGGGAGATTGAGGCTGGATGTGGGGAAGGAATTCTGTACAATGAGGGTGGTAAAACACTGGTACAGGTTGCCCAGAGAGGCGGTGGATGAACCATCCCTGGAGACATCCCAGGCCAGGCTGGATGTGGTTCTGGGCAACCTGATCTGGTTGAAGATGTCCCTGCTCATTGCAGGGGGTTGGAACTGGATGAGCTTTGAAGGTCTCCTCCAACCCAAACCATTCTGTGAGTCTATGACCCTATGATTTATAGATGACCCTAAAGATAATGTAACTCCAAGCCCTCTGCCACAGTCAGGGACAAGTCTCTGATATCTGTTTGTGAAAAGCTGCTTGTTTTCTTCTTATTTTATACATGGACAAGACACATCTCTTGTATTTCAAGTGTATTTTTCCTATCAATGACTTTTATAATGTTTATAACTTTTTTTAGTCTCGCTACTTGGAGAATACTTTATGTCAACACACTTTATCTTCAAACTTCCTCCCAGACTTGTTGCTATGGCTCTTGTCACGTGCATGGTAGCTCAGCCTAGGAGTAGGCATGGCTTGGTATCTGCAGGGCTGGGACTCAGCCCTGTCTTTGTCTCCAGCTGGTTGGAGCCTCTGCCTTGGGCTCAGCCTACCTAAGTTACCACAGAGGTCACTCCTGGTCTGTCTCAGCCACCGAATGGGCTGTTAAAACGATTGACACCTGAATATTATCACAGAAACCTCTTTTAGTTTATTTAAACAAGCATCAAACCTTTCCTGATAGAGCTTTGGCACTTACAACAAGAGCAAAACAATAATAATGAGCCAAAAATGCAGATAAATGGACAAATAACAGCAGGACAGTCAGGCTTGCAAAGGAGATGATGCTTCACGTATCTCCCATGGTTAATCCCAGGAGGCACCTCAGTTCAACTGGATACCCTTGGGAAGGCGGTGAGCAATGAGCAATGGAGGAGGTGGAATCAGAGGAGAAATGCTTTATCAAGCGGATATTTGAGTGTGTTAACAATAGGAGGGAAAACAAAGGCTGGGCAGGTGAGTAATATCTGTGGCGAAGCAAAAACCTGCAGAGGATGAAAGATAGGGATGAAGCCAGGAGAGAGCCCTGTGCTGATAGGGAATGAGAACCTGAAGTCAGGGCCAGAGCTCAGCAACCTACAGCCCTTGTTTAAATCCTGGCTAGAGCACAAAGTGCCTGCATGCCTTTGAGCCGGTCGTTCTGGGCAGTAGATTGCACTAACCATGGCAACCTATGAATTGGAGCTAAAATCATCACTCTTCGTATGCCTGCCTGCCAGTGGGGCACCTCCTGGTGTCCTGCTCCTCTGCCAGAGCCTGCCCTCAAGCCTGCCCCTGTAAATCAATGCAATCAAAACAACTTCATAGCTGTCCTGGCTCTTCTGCATTAGCAAAGCCTCCCACCACATCAGTAATACCCAGTGTTCACAACAGAGCGATATGTGGTATGATTTCCCAGGGAAAATCCCCCAGGAAAGAGGTTTTAAGCGTGCAGAGGGAGGCCTTTCCTCATCCATAGTACATTTCACACCAAAATAAGGATTTGATGGGGTAGTTTGGGGGTTATACTATATTGGTTGTATTATTATGGCTGGCAGTGCTCAAGGCTGGGTTGGATGGGACTTGGAGCAACCTGGTCTAGTGGAAGGTGTCCCTACCTGTAGAACTGGATGAGATTTAAGGGCCTTTCCAACCCAAACCGTTCCACGATTCTATGACTATTGTATTATATGGGGGTGCTTGGGGGTGTTTTTTTAAGGCATCTTAATGATTTCAAGATCAGCAAGCCCCTAACTGGTTTATCATCACCCTTGAAATTCTCATGGTGGTTGATGGTAATAATTATGCTTCAGCTTTTAGGAAGCCCTAAACATTCGGTTTCAAGGCAGTGTTGTTGCTATGACATTCCCAGGAGCTTTAGACCACAATGAGCAGGGAATTTACTGAGGGATGATGCAACACTAAAAAGCTGCTGTCTCTGGAAGGCAGCAGAGACCTTAGGAAGGTAGGTCTTGTGGTCTGGCCACACTGCATCAAGGAAGCCCTTTTTATTTCTCTTTACTGCTGCTAACTGGCTAAAGAAGCTCTTAAATGCCTGTCAGCAGGACAAAAAGGATGCTGTTTATCTGCTGGGAATGCGTTACAGAAAGGGAGATGCCAGAATTCGGAGGGAATAATGCCTTTTGTACAGCAGTCTGATGCTGTGTGCATCAGCTGCACTTGAAGGACTGGAAAAACACGTACAAACAGACAAGCCCTAAGCCAATATCCATTTGAATTTTACATACATCCACTCCAGATGTGCTGTCACACCTTTTGCATTCATTTGCTTGCAGGTATGGGGGAAATCGTGGTTTCCACATTCAAATTAAACCCAGAAGAGTATTTTCAAAGTTTGTATTTCTGCCTCTTTAAAAAATAAGCATTTCCTTCAGGTTTATGGATGTTTGCACTGGAAGGGACTGCAGATTTATTTAGTCAGGGAATAAAAATGACATCACTTGATTTATTTGAGCAGCCACTAGAAAACAAAGTGCATATTAAGGAAGGTGAGTGATTACTTAAAATGAACATTCAATCTACAGAGCGGTAGGATCATTAAGATGTATCAAAAAAACTTAACTAAGGAATGCATCGAAAAGAAAAGTGTGATCCTCCGTCAATTATTGTATAAATGGGAGAAAAGACCGCATTAATTGTATAAATTATTCATCCTTTTATTTGCTCAGTGGTGATGAGTAGCAATAATAGCTTTCTGTCTCAGATGACAAAGAAATTTTGGTTATTATCCTTACTATGGCAAAGTAACTGGGGAATAAAGGGAAATGTCTTGGAGCATTTCTAAGTTTATTGGGGAGATCTTGTTGTCCACTGGGTTTTCTTCTCTCTGCTGTTCCACACAGCACTGGTGAGCCTGTCTCATGGACAAAGCTTTTGGAAACTTGACTGATGAAAATCAGAGAATCCCAGACTGGTTTGGGTTGGAAAGGACCTTAAAGCCCATCCAGTTCCAAACCCCTGCCACGGGCAGGGACACCTCACACCAGACCAGGTTGCTCCAAGCCCCTGTGTCCAACCTGGCCTTGAACACTGCCAGGGATGGGGCAGCCACAGCTTCTCTGGGCACCCTGTGCCAGCGCCTCAGCACCCTCACAGGGAAGAGCTTCTGCCTTAGATCATGGGTACCTCCTGTGGTACAGCGCTGTTTCCTTGAATGATGGTGATGATGATGGTGACTTCCTTGCTGTACAGTTATATTTTCAGATATTCAGCTTGGACTTTTATTAAAGAATCATGCATTGCAATACATGCATGCAATACATCTGCCCTGGGCAGATCCAGCATTAATTCATGCTATCTGCATAAGGTTGTTGACTTCTGCAGAGGAACGTTTGTCCCAGTGAACTGCTGAGCACTAATAATTTCTTCTACTTGGAGCTGCTGTATAGTGAGAAATGAGGAACTGCTTTTCCATTTAGCATAGGCCATCATGTTATGTAACTTACCACTGCTGAAATAACCCGAGGGGCATTCAGCCTCCATGCAATGAACATGGCACTGAGCAGAGCAATCAGTCTGAATCACATCAACAGTCTCTGTGCCCCTCCAGGAAAGCTGCTGGCCTCACCGGTTGCCTGGGGACACTGGATAAGGATTCAGTGCATGATCAGGAGGTATAAAAGGATGCTCTGAGCTGCGACACCTTGTGTAGCTCCCAGAAAAAGCCACCTGACAGCACAGAGGTCTTCAGTACTATTTCAGGAGGCAGTTACCATCTGTGTACCGAATGCTTCCAAGTGGTGAAGCTGTAGGAACACTCACTAGGATTTTCAGCTGGGTTTGCCTCCCAGCTTGAAGCTAGGGAGTTTTTACTGCCTGCCAGTAAGGAGGGGATGGCAAAGGTGTCTCACCTCCTTGTTTGTCCCCACCAGAAGTCTCTCCTGAATTGATGGGAACAGACCTGGTTACCCCATTGTTCTCCCTGGGGACTCGAGGATGTCACACCTCCTTGTGCTGCTCTTAGTACACAACCTGGTACAGATGCAGTGCCCTAGAGAGTTTGTTCTCTCTCCTCCTGTTTTATGTACAGCTTTGCCTTGCACCTAAGGTTTGGTCTTTAAAGTACAAGCTTGGGGATTCGTGAACATCTCA